TATTCATATTCACATTCATTTATTTGCATACCATAAAGTGAATAAGGTGTTACAATATGCTTAAAGCTAAGTAAATGTACTTAGCTTAGCTTAAAATATTTTTTAAGATAAAGCTTCTTTTTAAAAGAGATTATCCATAACGTGATGTTATGCCTTGCCTTTTATCCCCGAAGAGGTAGGCAGAGGTGCGCATTATGCCACTGTACAATGTAACACCCACTTTTCACTATTTATGCTATGAGTCCCATGTATTATATATCCAAGTACTATTTTAATCATTCGTCACTTGTTTTTATTTTTATTATACACCGTGAAATCTATTTCGTTTTCGTTCCGAAGTAAAATGATTCTGTCTCAGTAATACAATAGTTTTACAAACAAATAAAATGTTTAAAACATAATATAACTGGTGAACCATTGCAGAAAGCAAACTTCGAAAGCGCATACGAACTCATAGTACATTATCAGAACATCACGCCGTGTTCACATCGTGCGATGCGAATAGTGCCTACAAGTTGACGTCTATAGTCAGAATTTTAATTAGATTCCAGATTTGACAATAGCTACTGTCATTTTGTGAAATAATGATACCACATATAATAGTGTAGTGATGCACACAAAAATCGATAAACAATCAGTGTGTGTGTTTTATAATAAATGTTACAGAAAGTGACAGGATAGCGATAGCGATGACAGCGACAATTTATAAAATAACTTATTACCATAATACATCTATCTGTTTTATTTGCCATGTTCCTTCATGATTACATTTTTTATTTATTTCACACACAATTATAAAAGAAACGTCTCAGATCGTTAATTAATCGTCAAAACTAAATTATCGGTTCAGAAATATTTAATTTCCTGATATGCTTAGTTAGTTCACGAAAGTAAAATTATAATTATTATAAACGAGAAGAATCGATCCAGAAATATTGCATTTCCATGTCGAATAATTTCGCAACGTCACTATTTAGTACTTGTCATAACGTTGCCACACTGAAATTGTCAAATCTGGAATCGAATTAAAATTCCGAGTATAGTGTTTCATGTGCGTATTTACATGGTTTTTTTTTAAACTAAAAAATGGCATCTTTAATTATTTGTTTTTACTTTATACCTCGAACGTACTCCTTATGGCAAGTTGTTTTGCCGGGAAACCGAAATAGATTACATGGTGTATTAAAATCACAGGTTATGTTAATGGCCATTTTTCTTTTATGACTAGGTAGGTACATGTTATAAAACAAAATCGCTGACCGCTGTCTCGCTATATGTGCTCCGATCTTTTAAACTGCGGAACACATTTATTTTTGTACAAAATTGGGTACTTTCCTTAATAAAAATACATAGTTTCGACTGTCGCGTGACATGGCCCGTCGTTACACTTCATACATTACGGTGTTGCAAGTACACGCACACATGAATACACCTCTGCAATAATTCTTTATGTACACTTACATTCTAATGGAGACAAAAGTTCAGTAAACTCAATGTATAGAATAGGTTATTTGCCTTAATCAAAAATAAATAATTTCGACTGTTCAATACAATAAAATATTAAAAAATAATCACACTTTCATTAATTGATTCTATGATCAACTTAATTTTAGTATTTTTCCAGCAAAATTTTTAAGAAATAAGTACGCTGTTTGACGCTAAAAAAATGTGACGTCACAATACACAATCTCGTACAAAAACAATTATAGAAAACTGTCGTTTTTGACAGTTCGAAAAAAGTATTGAACTTGACTAGTTGACACGTACCCAATTGAATATATCTGCTTTATTTAGTTGCAAGATAACTTGACACACACACACACACACATACATAGATTGCAATTGCAAGCAACCTAACCGGTATTTATTATTGTTTCAGACCAAATGAAGAGAGTAACTTCACATGTTCGTAGCAGAAGATGCCAAACGAAACCTTGACGACCAACTAATGAAGATATAGCCATTACCATTCTACATCGCTTCGTCTTCTGAGCCGTGACGGAGCTGGGTGTATTATGCCGACTGCCCTTTGACATTATATTATATTGAACTAGCTTTAACCCGCGGCTTCGCTCGCGTCACAAAAGAATAAGAAGTAGCCTATGTCACATATACCAATAAGCACAGCGCCATCTATACCAATACTTTTGTTTTTCCTCGGGAATATCAAATCTTTCCGGGTTAAAAAGTATCCTATTATTTAATCCGGACTTCTAACTTTACGTCTGCAAAAATTCAAAGCAATCGGTTGAGTAGTTACGGCCTGAAGGTGGAACAAACAAACAAACTCACTTTCCGATTTATAATATTATTAGTAAGTATATTAGTATTAGTATAGTATTATTAGTAAGGATAATATTAGAAAGGATTGAATTTGTATTAACGAAACCGATTGATTCTAAGATTATGTACCTATTATGGAGAATGCTTCAAGGTAGCCCGCCCAGTAGAAATTATCTTTACTTTTTTACAAGACAATGTCGGATAATATAATTGTATATTTCGCGGTAGTGCAACTAATAACCAAGACGGACTCGTAGGAAAATTGAAGGGCCGACGATTACGTTTGTATGTTTTTGTCTATATTTTCTAGCCACAAGTGAATCTGTGCTTCCATCATGAACAACAAGAGCCCCTCTTAATATTTAATACCTACGGGCCCCGCGCTAGATTGACATATTTTTTGTATTCGTAAAAAATCGAATGAATTTAGCGAAGTCTGAACAAAAATTGTTGAATACGATCTTGCGAGGATATTATTAAAAAAACGCTAAATATAAAAGATGGAAAATTATATCAACCTATTGTGTCTAGCACTTACACGTATGTATGGAAATGAATGCTGGGTTATGGTGGAGTATAAGCAATTGATGCGGAGAGGGAAATAGGCTACGGCTTCCCTCTCACATGGGCACCTAAGGCCTTATGATCTACAACGCGTCATTTAGGTAACGAATGCATGCAACCTTTCCCACCCAACATATAGATGCTTCAGCACAAATGGACCGGCTCGACCGGAGTGAACCACGGCCGTGGGCGGCGCCGATGGCTTACCATCAGGTAATCCGTCTGCTCGTTTACCGGTTTATTCTAAATGCTTGTACCTTGCTTGGAACAACTGTCCAAGAAGCGTGACGATAGGCGGCAATTGTAGGCCGCCTATCCTCATTGTAGGATGCATGCATTCGCAAAATGAGGCGTCTATCATCACTTTTATTCTAGGTTATATTTGTTCGATTTTTTTAGTACTAACATGTTAGTATAGAAATGAATGCTAGGTTGTGGTGGAATGTAAGCAGTTGATGCAGAGAGGGATATAGGTTACGACCTCCCTCTCATACGCATAGCTATATTTTTTCTAGAATAAAACATCACTGCATATTGTATTATAGAAACTAGGATATTGTAGGATTTTATTCACGCGGTAGGTTGCGCGAAGTCGTTGTGTCCTTCGCACGCTGTTCAAAAGAAAGGGTCGATTTATGACTGAAGTACTTAGTAGACCATTTCCCAGTTATTTGTGTGAGTAAATGGTTTTTTTAACTAACGTCTTCCAGACTAGATATTAGCGTATGATCACTGGTGCCTCAGCTTAAAACGGCAGTCTAATGTAGGGCAGTATCTGGCGCGGATCGGGATATAGGCTACAGCCTCCCTCTGCGCCAGACTCGTTCCTAACAAAAGACAAAACTAGTATTTTTAATGCATAATTTTATGACTTTTTGATTTATAACCTACTAGCTTTTACCCGCAGCTTCGCTCGCGTCACAAAAGGATAAAAAGTAGCCTATGTGACATATACCAATACACACATCGCCATCTATACCAATTCTTTTGTTTTCCCTCGGGAATATCTATTTTTCCGGGATAAAAACTACCCTATTATTTAATCCGGACTTCTAACTTTACGTCTGCAAAATTTCAAAGCAATCGGTTTAGTAGTTTTGGTGTGATAGCGGAACAAACAAACAAAACAAACTCACTTTCTGATTTATAATATTAGTAAGGATATATATGAGTATAAGATATAACGATATACTTCAAGATGTAACGCAGGTTTCCTATAGCTACTAGGTCAAGCTAACAGTCATAATATACACCGTGCTGGACAGAGAAAAGGCCAGGCCACGGCTTCCCTCTCACATGCGCTACTCTCGCTATTTTTATTTCTATTCCAGATTTTTGCTATTAATCTTCCAACCGCTCTACATGTTAGTGTAAAATGCTCAATGAGAGCCATCCTATATGTGTGATATTTACAAACGTACCTATTAATATATTCTAAGTTGGAACCACAAAGTGGGCTTAGTACGAAGTGTTACCGTGTGAAGCGTTCTGATTGGTTACTTCAATGGAGCAGGCCAATCAAAGCGCTGAATGCGATACCGTTTAGATTTCGATAAACGTAAAACAATTTATTTATTTATTTATTTATAAACTATATACATACTACTATCATAACAGGAACTAATACCTAATGCAATAGTGTATGCCAAACTCGAACTTGGCCCACAGGACCTTAAGGAGTAAGGAACGACTAAGTTATAAGCTACAGACCAGCCTAGTTGCTCTCATTTTGACAGTTTTTGTAGACAAGGTTGCTATCCTTTTCTTGCATGAGTGATCCTTGTATGATTTACTTTTGTTTTGTTTATATTTTCTAGCACTAACACGTATGTATAGAAATGAATGCTAGGTTATGGTGGAATGTAAGAAGAGAGGGAGATAGGCTACGGCTTCCCTCTCACAAATTAATATTGTAGATTGTAATTATCACTTCGTTTTCTATTGAATTTTATCAAATGTTGTAACATTAGCCAACTTTATTGTATTTGCTTACATTATGCAAAGAAAATAATAAACAACACTTTATTAAAAATAATATATTTTCATTAACAAAACAACTATTGGATTACCGCCATCTATTACAGACCATGGTAAACACCGTAATATAGAACAACGCCATCTATGTTTTGAGTCCGTAACATTTTTTATTTAAATTAAAAATTGATATGACGTATAATGAAATTTTGATAGGAGTTTATTTTGGTAAATGCAATTACCGCCTTACGGTTGCATTTTGAATTATCCTTAGATGTAGGTGCACTGGATACAATCCCTCTTAAATAATACCGCAGTACACCACGTTCATTTTCTGGGAACGCCAAGCTGCCCCCACTATCACCACCGCACAGTGTTGCAGTACCTAGAAGTATACATAGGTTTTTAATTCAACGTCGCCCTAATCGAATTCTCCCCAGGGTCGTCAATCGAACTTTCAAAATGAGCTCGATCCCATTATCACCCGTTATTGGTCGCGATCATTCTCACTACCAACGACCCGTGCTCGCCGTCCGCAGGCCCGCGCTTACGGTGGCCGGAGATCGTCCCGCGATCCCCGACGCCCGGAGTGTTCTTTGCGACGGCTGGACTGTGAGGAGCTTTTGCTGCCTCACGCGCCACCTCCTTAGGCCTATATAGCCTAAGCTTAACCTTACCTGTGTCTAAACGTGGATCCCAGCAAGACACAATATATTTTCTATTGTGTCTCATATTGGTGCATTTAAGCGGGTAAATCAGGCACTAAATAGTATCTTATATTATGTTGAATACACTAGCTACTTCCGCGCGGTTTCACACGCTCTGCTCAGCTCCTATTGATCGTAGCGTGATGTTTTAGCTTATAGCTATTCTCGATAAATGCGCTATCCAACACAAAAATAATTATTCAAATCAGACTTGTAGTTACGGAGATAGCGCGTTCAAACAAACAAACAAAAAACAAACTCTTCCGCTTTATATAATAGTATAAGAAGTATAAGATATAAGAATATAGCTATATATAATATATTATGTTGACTGTATAAAGCTGAAGAGTTTGTTTGTTTGTTTGTCTGTTTGTTTGAACACAATTATCTCCGGAACTACTGGTCTGATTTGAATAATTCTTTTTGTATTGAATAGTACATTTATTGAGGAAGACTATAAGGTATGCAACATCACGCTACAATCAATAGGAGCAAAGCAGAGCGAGTGTAACCGCGCGAGAGTAGCTTAAAAAAAGTATTTTTCTTCTTTGACAATATTATAAAAAAATTAAGACTTATTATATACCGTCATCAAAACCAGCACAGATTTTGTCCGTGCCAAGGAATTCCCTGAAATCATCCGGAGTCTTCATCCTGCACTGTGGGAGAGTCAAGTATGGCAAGTCAACGATTTTTAGAACTTCTGGCTTCTTCCCATCTGGTGATGTGTATCCCCAACCAGCCACCTGGAAGTTATGAGAATACCATGTATAGACATTGTATCATCAACAGCCTATAAATGCCCACTGCTCAGCAAAGCCTCTTCTCACCCGGAGAAGGTTTGAGCATTAATCACCACGCTTGCTCAATGTGGGTTGGTGATTTCAATCTTATAATAAGAAATAATAAGCCCAGGTTTCCTCACGATGTTTTCCTTCACCGTTTGTCAGTGGTGTCTAAATGATCTTAGAAAGTACATATAACTCGGAAAAGGTCACATTGGTACTTGCTGTTGGTAGGTTTCGAACCCGCACCCTCATGCATTGTATGTATATGTATAATTCTAGGGTCGGCAGACTAAACCACATAATAATGTTTTTGTTGTATTGTTTATGTTTTGTTATCATTTGTTGTTGTTTTGCTCTTATCTTTACCCTTTTAAATTTATTTTATTATTTTCTATTAAGTATATATAAATATATGTATTTTAATTTTATTATTTCTTTTTTATTTCACCAGAGGCGTTACAAGTGCGTTACGGGCCTTCTGGATTAGGAATTTGAGGATTGTTGAGGATTCAGGGATTGAGGAATGGGAGGGGGCGTAATCACTCACACGACGAAACACAACGCAAGCGTTGCTTTACGTCGGTTTTCTGTTAGGCCGTGGTATCACTCCGGTCCATCCGGCCCATTCGTGGCGAAGCATGGCTCTCCCACTTCACACAGATGCTAGTAGAAAAATGAAATAATACTTACTCTTCCTTTATTATCGGGCTGCAATTGTTTGTCTTGAAAAACTTCGCCAAAATCGAGACATATAGGCATCACATACTTTGTGAATATTATCGAAGTCTTCAATTTCACTAGCGCAATATCCCTATCCTGGTTGCCCAAATTACCTTCATACAGCTCCGGTGTAGATATTAATTCTACCTGAAATTAATTTACTTAATGCGTTTCATAATAACTATCGTGAGACATACTAAATTAACTATTTAAAATCCTACATGATACTTTCTTAAGTATAGGTACTTATTCCTACCTGATCTCACGACAACATTTGAATTGAACAGCATTTATTTATGGTTTTTATAATAACTATCGTGAGACATACTAAATTAACTAAAAACCGCGGGTTACTTACGTGAATGCGTGAAACAGCGCGCCGCCGCCGGCGTTGGAAGCAAACGCTCGTGGTATCCGGCAGAGGGCGCGTTAGGCTAGATGCGCAAGTAGCAACCCCGATCCGAGCGTCAACGCTAGCCAGTAGGCTGCGCGACATCGCCGCGACCGCGCACGCTGCTCATGAGGATGAACTCCTCTGTGGTTCGAAACTAGTAGAGCTTTTCTCAGAGTATATTCACGTGAGTAACCCGCGAGTTTTAGTTAATTTAGCATTTATGGTCATGCAAACTTAACGTGTATACAAAATTTCAGCTCAATCGGTCGAAGATACCAACTTTCAATTGTAAGATTCCACTTTACATCTTACTAATCCTTACTACAATATTATAAACCGGAAAGTGAGTTTGTTTGTTTGTTTGTTCCGACTTCACGCCGTAACTTCTAAACCGATTGCATTGAATTTTTGCAGACGTAAAGTTTGAAGTGCGGATTCAATAATAGGGTACTTTTTATCTCGGAAAAATTGATATTTCCGAGGGAAAACAAAAGTGACATATACCAATACACACAGCGCCATCTATACCAATACTTTTGTTTTTCCTCGGGAATATCAATTTTTCCGGGTGAAAAAGTACCCTATTATTTAACCCGGACTTCTAACTTTACGTCTGCAAAAATTCAAAGCAATCGGTTGAGTAGTTACGGCGTGAAGGTGGAACAAACTCACTTTCAGATTTATAATATTGGTAAGGATACTTACATCAAATTTCTGTGCCTCTGTGTCTTTTTTGTTGTCCCAACTTCTGTAATATTTGTCGACAGCTACCGCAAATAAATCAGGGCTTTCGATTTTTTTTGTATCCTTATCCCAGAAACAATGCGCGGCTGAAATGATATAATTACTCGTATAATACAATACCTAAAAAATCAACAATGAGATTATTATTAAACCTAAAGATTTTTTTTATAACATCACGTCTTTTTATCCCCGAAGGGGTTGGCAAAGGTGCACATTTCCGCACTTAATGTCACTGTACAAGGTAACACCCACTTTTCACTATTTATGTTATGAGTCCCATGTAATAGGGGGTGAGCCTATTGCTATATACCGGGCACATTTCCAGACTCCGTGCTACTACTGAGATCGTGCTAAGAATTTTGTAAAAACCCAGTAATACTTTGCCCGACCCGGGAATCGAACCCGAGACTCCTTTCCCGGCGCACTTGCGACCACTTGGCCAACGAGGCAGTCAGCAACTTTTTTTTAAATATTTTAATTGGAAATAAATCTGTATTACAATATTTTTATACATATGTAACTTTGTAAATTGTGACGTCACTTTAGGGGGGGGGGGATAAAATCATGAACTTCGTATAACGTAATTTATGGAGGACCTCTTAATATAGCGCTGTATGGTTTGTTGCTCATTCAACTGCCGTTCCAGTCCAGCCGGACACCAGGGCACCATGGTGGCGTAACACTGGTTACGCCATTTCATTTTAACACCCTTATATCAATTATTATACAAGGTGTTGTTTTAAAGCCGCGTCATTTTCTAGGAGGTAAATCGGATATCGATTCTGAGTCCGAATCAAAAAAAAAATTGTAGGTAAATGTTTTTCATTTTTCTGTAAATTACCGAAATCCGTAAGTGCGAACTACACGCCGCCGTCTTGTAACTAGCTTTATAACGCGGCACACACAAACTCAAACACGTAATTGATATTATTCCTAATACCATAAAACTCCAATAAGAAACATTGCTGTCGCTTATTCTGAAATAGTGTCGAACTTAAACGATTTATTATAGCCGTATTTTTAACTATTGGCCCGAAATTTTCTCTTACATTGAACCTTTATGACTTCTGTGACATGCCCCCGAGAAATAACACGGTTTCAAAATTACACCTTGTATAATGTACATACCTGTGATTATATAATTGGCGGATAATATCGATCCTCCACAGATCTGCTCGTAGTCCGAATCGTTTTTCCTGTAGACACCGGCATGCCAAGATATTTCTCCACTGAGGGCATTCCGTCCTCCTATAGACAATCTACTTCCCTTCGGAGTTAAACGACCGCATTCTGAAAGCAAATTGCCATTAGGTTTTATTATTAGCCCCCCCTCACTCCCCGTCCCGTCCCCAATCTCCCCAATGCCTGAATCCTCAACAATCCCAAAACTCCCAATCCCTAAAAGGCCGGTAATGCAATTGTAACGCCTCTTGTGTTATAGGTGTCAATGGGCAACGCCGATTGCTTACCATTAGGTGACCCATCTTCTTTTTTAAAACTTCATTTTAACCGCAAGCGCCCTTGTGACTCTCGCTCCGTCAATGGGCGGCGCTGATTGGTTAATACCTCCAGTTGAAGTGTTGACACATTTGCCTCTATTCCAAATACTAAGTACCGTAATAGGCGTTCCAAAGCAGAGGCTCCGAGCTAATGGTGACCACCGAGGTAGTTTTAAACAGATGCGAATAGGGTAGGGTCCAGGGTATCAAAATTAAAAATCTAATTAGTCCGTCAGTTAGATAATGAAAAAGTATTAGACACGTATGTTTTATTTTGTCGTATTAAGTTGTAATACTTAGATAAAATGGCGCTAAGTTTAGGAGTGGGAGGTTGTTACGTCATAACGTGCTACAAAATGTGGCACGCTGTGACGTCACGCGATATTTCAAATTAATATATCGTCGAAAGTATTTAATTTTGTGAGAAAAGAAAAAATACGTGTCTAATGTTTTAAATTAATGTACCAGACGGACATTAAAATCAAATTTAAGAAACTACCCTATTACACCTTCCCTAGTATTGCTCCCCAAAAACTAAGTACCATATGACGGATTTCTTCCAAAAAGAGTATGATAACGAAGAGGAAACAAGTGAAGAGTGAACAGGTTGGTCATAGGTAGGCGTGCTCCATCGTCGACCACGTCATCATCGCTTACCACCAGGCGAGATGGTGGTCAAACGTCGACTTATAAAGTATATAAAAAAAACAAAACTTAAGAAATACGATGTATTGTTAAATGGTGGGTTTAAAGTGGAGGGGATTAGAAGCCTGGAGTTATTGAGAACTGAGACAGTGTCAAAATTGGGATGTGGGTCAAAACTGAAACTTGGACTTCACTACATAACTACATAGTATAAAATAAAGTCGCTATCCGCCGTCTGTCTGTCCCTATGTATGCATAGATCTTTAAAACTACGCAACGGCTTTTGATGTGTTTTTTTTTAATAGATAGAGGGATTCTTAAGGACGGTGTAAATGTGTAATACATGTCTATTGCACCTGATTGCACCCGTGCGAAGCCAGGACGGGTCGCTAGTGATAAATAATTGTGTGCTTGTCGTGGTGGCCCGGACGTTTAAGACGCCTGCTTCTCATGCCCCCGTGTGTAGACTCGAAACCTATACGCGGCAAGTATCAATGTGAGTTTTTCCGATATGTTATGCCATGTTAAAACACACACGGTCATAGTGAGAAGGCTAAAAAGGACAAAACCTTTTGAGTTAATATAGTGAAGTGTTAGTGTAGTGAGTGCTACCCGCAAAGAACACAATAACAAAGTGTCTTCCCCTTAATAGAAACAATAAGAAAAGCGTTAATAAACACATTCTTAGTTATACTTTCCTAGCAAAAATTAAGATAAAATTGAATTACTTATTAGCATTAAAGCTAGATTGTAATTTTTTATAATGTTACCGTATGAAGTCACATCACATAAACAAAAAAAAAATGTTAAAACATCGTGAGGAAACCTGGGCTAATAATTTGTTAACTATACGTTTGAAATCTTCGACCCGCATTGAGGAAGCGTGGTGATTAATGCTCAAACCTTCTCCATGTGAGACGAAGCCTTTGGATAGCAATGATGATGATAATGATGATCATAAAGATTCATTTGACATACCTGGGGCACACGTGACTATAGGGTCCCATACTCCATCTTTACAATTCATGTTGAGCAAACTATTTCTGGAAAAGTAGTTGGGTTTGCAATGCACCTCGACGCTGGTCCCCACAGGTTCTTGATCGTTACAAATACGAGTACCCGTACTATGCCCACTCAGTAAACAGCGGTAATTTACAGATGGGTGGCTGTTTAATTTACAATGTCCTGTGGGAGCAATATGGATACAATAAGACCTCTGTCCAGGAAACTGCACGCCTGTAAAGTGCACCTACTGACGCTTGCACCAATGGGAGCTACCGCTTTTTATCTCACCAGATGGAGTATATATCGAAAGAGGTTTCTTAATTAACTAAAAATCGCGGGTTACTCACGTGAATATACTGAGCTCTACTAGTTTCCAACCACAGAGGGGTTGTTCCTCGTGAAAATGGGAAAGTGAAAACTGTACATTGAATATTTTTTTAAAGAATGGTTGAGGCGTGATCTACAATCGATACCGAAACTAAAAATATCCGGGTCAGCTAGTATGTAATATAATTTTGTCTCCGCATCACCCAAAGGTCTGGCTGGAGGAGAATGCCCATGGCATTAAGCCCACCTTGTACATTAGTGTGTGCATGAAACCTTTTAAAAATAAAAACTTAAAACTTATCTACTACTAGCTTTTACCCGCGGCTTCGCTCGCGTCACAAAAGGATAAAAAGTAGCCTATGTGACATATACCAATACACACAGCGCCATCTATACAAAGACTTTTGTTTTCCCTCGGGAACATCACATTTTTCTGGGATAAAAAGTACCCTATTATTTAACCCGGACTTCTAACTTTACGTCTGTGAAAATTCAAAGCAATCGGTTTAGTAGTTACGGCGTGCAAGCGGGACAAACAAACAAACAAACAAACTCACTTTCCGATTTATAATATTAGTAAGGATAGTAAGGTTGTTCCAAATTTCATACCGATGGCTTGAGCCGTTTTGAAATCAAAAAAAATCGTATTTATAATACAAGTAACATTACTTACGAACACAAAGTGATTTAGTCTCATTTACCGACCAGTGTCCATCATTACAGTAGACTTTATTGTCGCCAACCACGGCATAGCCAGGGTTACACGTTATGGTAAGGAGTGCAGACGATGGTAATTCATTCACCTCGTATGTGGGTCATAAACAAAACAAGAGTAAAAAAATAAAAATAATTAAAAAGCGTTATTTTTCAAAACAAATCAGCATTTATTATGTCAAATAGTAAAATAATTATATTGCCCACAAAATCAGAGATCAAAACCTTATTTTCATTAAAATATGTGACATTTTAATTTATATGTGTCCACCGAAAAGACCAGATTATCCACAGAAAAGTTTATAATAGGGCTTTTAATCAAAAAAGTAATCTCAATACTTCCAAAACTTTAAAACAATAACAATTACGATGTACTTTACTTCTTCGTATTGAAAATAAAACAAATCATTCAACACTATTAAACAAAAAAAAAATAAAAACTTTATGTTCACAGAAATGACAACTTTTCTGTTGACATAATTACGTCGTCGATATTGCAGGATCTTGTAAAAATACGAAAACGGTTTTTTAGAGAAAACTTCTAAATATTTTATTGAAGTCTGAAGATTTAATAATTAAACTTGTAACTAAAATTAACACTTATAGCTGTAAAATGATGCAAGCAAAAACGAAAAAGAAAACGTTTCTACAATTACAAAGTCCTGCACTGATATCGATAGTTAGCTAAATATAAAAGTAAGTAGAAAAATAAACTTTAGTGCTCATGTATCACTTCAAAATATAGATTCATCTTCACTGTCTGTGTAAGGATTAATAAACGGTTTCTTGGGCTGTGCCGGAAGTAGAATCAAGTCTTCTTCATCTTTGGTGTCTGTTTCGTTATTCATTAATGGCTGTCTTACAAATCGCGGGCGAAATATATTAACTGAATCATCTGAATCATTGGAATCTGAGACAAGCTCCTCATCGTTTATACGAGTAGGGACACTTTGAAATATTTCTTCTGGTGTAACTTGAATTGACCTATATGATTCTGTAGAAGCATCAGGTGTGGCTATATTTCTTGGAGATAAGCTAGAGCATCAGAGACGAAACTAACGGGAGTGCTTGATCTTGTACTTTCAGGTTGAACATTTATTTGTCCAATTTCAAAATGGGGACATATAGTCGTAGCTGCGCAAGACCGACAACTTAGTCTTCTTGCATGTAAAATATTTGGTTCACTTCGACTCCAAGTAAGTTGGTGTATCTTTAAAGTGCCCTTGAAAGCTTTCGTTCTATTCTTATCAGCAATGTTTTCGAGTTCTTGAATATATGGGTCACCAATGCCAAAAATCTCTATTCCTTTGCAGTTTTCTTTTAAACAAGACATAAGAGAATCATAATCCGATACGTCTTTGCCCATTCCAACCGAATTATCACACAGCCTTTTTATACATCCACCTACTCCATCAGGAGCTCCTTTTCCATGACCTTTTTCGCTATAGTGCCAAGTAATATTATTAACGTTACTCAATTCTCTGGCTATGAAATTCGAAATAAAATAAAACATTAACTTATTGCGGTACTGTGTTGTCGGACCATCGCTTAGTATATGTAAGTCTGATAAGTTAGGACTTATTTCTTCAATTCTTTGTAAGACAGGTCTAAGATGGGCACAGATCAGTATAGGGTCGTGTCGTAAGTTTACCGATATAGAGCACATCGATGTTGTAATAAAAGACTTGTTTTGAGTTTCTGGTCCACTGCTGTAGTAAACGCACGTGTGAAGTGACAGTTGAGGCTTAGAACCCCCAAAATGGGCAGATTGGACCTCACAACTATATTTACAGTTGTAGTTTTCCGAGAAGTCAATATGTAACAAACCTTCGGAAGAAGATAACTGTTGCTTAATGGTTTGTATCGTTCGTATTTGATGAATCATATTACTAATGTGCTGCATGTAAATTGGTAAGTTCGAATTAAATAATTTTACAAGATTTCCTTTTGTAGTTTTTACAGTTTCTTTTACACATTTTTTGCATAGTTTTGGCTTACCTTTAATAACGACTTCAACAGTTTTAACCACCCATCTCTCGTAAGTTATATGATCGTTGTGATCGTATTCATGAAAGGTGATTTTTTTATTAAGACATCGCTCACACGTTCGCTCTAGGCATTTCGGATTGAGTGTGTCATTACAGCAAAGTGCTTTAGCCACATGTGATGCAGATCCATGCGATATAATTTTTGCCTTTTGAAGTGAGCGGACTATATGATCACTGTTTTCGTGTAACGTACACAAACATGTATTTCTAGCAGAAGCTTTCGGGAACAACACCCAAAATGGACGGTATCTTCTGAAGGTTTGATAAGAAATTTTAATACCTGTTTTATTTTGAAAAGATACATGTAAATTTAAGAGAGTGTCATTTAATAAACGAATTTGACGTTTGATCTTCTTTCGAGTAATGGTCTCATTTTTACCAGCAGTTAATCTACTGTTCTCATCTTGTACTAAAAAATCATGCACAATTTTTCTCATATCCTTCTTTAATACTTTTTTTTTAGAACCTTCTATGTTCCTATTGTTTTTTTTCGTATCTTCTAGTCTTTTTATACGCATCTTATATTTTTTTATTTTTTTGTCCATTGCTAAGACCCTTAAATGTAAGGCCTCGTTTTCTGCTTTTAATTTTCTTTTATTACGAGCAGCTACTGCCCTTCCAACTTCAACGCGCGAAAATGACGTAGAAGGACTTGATGGCGGAGTATTTTCTTCTAATAAAGCAGCGGTGGCTTTCCGCATTTTTATTAGTTCACGTCGTTTTTTAGATTTTTCTCGCCACATTTTTCTAATTTGACGCTGTTGTCTAGGAGTATATTGATCAATAGTCTTAATTTTACCTGTCTCTTTCTTCTTATGATACCTCTCTCTATCTTTCTTACGTATCTCTTCAATAGCAGCATCGTTCAGTTTTGCACGTGCTCGCCGCATGCTTATTTTTTTTTGTTCACGACGTCTAATCTTCTTTTCTTCATCAGTGAGATGCTTAAGTTTATTTGTTCTTGGCATTATTAGCTGAAATAGAAACCATAACCCATATGTACACACCAATTCAAGCAAAAACAAGCATTAAAAACACAGTGCATCTAAAAACCAAAATGAAACATGCCACAGAACATAAATACAAAACAAACGAACATATTTATTAAATATGTTTTTCATCATAAATTAGCGGTACTGTTATGCGTTAGGGCGGGATTGCAGGCGATATCAAGTGTCAAAACAAACTTAGCAATTTAATTGAGTCATAAAAAGTATAGGTTACAGTAAACGTCACTTTTGTGGACTTGGTCTATTCCGTGGACATTGTGTCCACCGAAAAGTTTGTCCACGGAAGGGTTAAAATAACTAAAATAGCCATTCAAAACATGCAATTTTGAGGTTACAATATGCCGCACCTGGTTTTTGCTAATGGCCTCCCAGATCGCACAACGATAATCGAAATAAGTATTTTTTATGCCAATACTTACCAAAATCCGGATGGAACAGAAAAGTTGCAACGATCTTTGACCCAAAAGTAAAACAACCACCTATTTATAAATATTTCAACAATTTTTTACGGAGTTAAGTTTTGTACCACCAAATAGTTTTACTCAACTGACAGCTCGACAATGTTGCCATACAAAATAAATAAAATCAAGCCTTGTTCCACGTAACAAATATTGAATATAAAATTTAGTTGGACCACGGGAGGGGTCACAAAATTGGTAACACCTTGTTTATGCCTTATAAATTATTTGTATTGTGTGTTGATTTTTCATACCTATGTAAAATGTAAACTATAAGATGTTAGTAACTAACAAAAAGAGAAATACATTCAAACTTTTATTTGAAAGTATTTTTTTTCTTTATGCAAACTTAGGAACCTAGGTATGACACGGCCCACGGAAGGGTACACAAGCGTAACTTTTTTTTTAATTATAAAAAAAATATAACATAAAATTAAAATATTTTAACGTGAATTTATATTAAATCTAAATAGTTAATTTATTAAATAAGAATATTAATGTATAAGGTATATTTTAACCAATTTTTATTAAACGCACATTTTATTTGCCTGTTTTGTTTATGACCCATGTTCCATAATCAGGGCGAGGCGGCAATTTGCATCTGAAGACGAAGAAACATAAATTATGTTTTCGGCTTACTCACGTAATTATTTGACGAGGAACTCGACTCGACAAGCCATGCTAGAGGCTCATATTCATGAGCAGCGACGCGACGCGGCGGCGACTGTCGCGCTTCTACTGGCTACTCGATTCTGCGGACCCAGTGCGCCCTCTGCCGTGATTCGATCTAGTCGAGTTCCTCGTCAAATAATTACGTAAGCCGAAAACATAAAAATTTATTTAGTATGTCTCACGAAAGTTATAATATGAACAAACATGTCAACAACGGCTTCATAACAATTTCAGTTGGTGCGGTGGCTGGGTAATTGGCTGCCACGCAACGTGTCGCCGGTTTAATTCCCGCACGGAACAACTCTTTGTGTATTCCACAGATTGTTGTTCCGGGCCTGGGTGTGATGTATGTATGTGAACTTGTATGCTTATAAACGCATCCACGACACAGGAGAAAATCCTAGTGTAGGGCAACGTTAAAAAAAATCATAAATCTCGGACATAAATATAAAACATATAATAATAAGACAGTCGTGGTAGCTCGGAGGTTTAAGACGCCCGCTTCTCATGCATGAGGGTGCGGGATCGAAACCTACCAACGGCTAGTACCAATGTGACTTTTTCCAAGTTATATGTACTTTTTAAGATTATTTAGACACCACTGACAAACGGTGAAGGGAAACATCGTGAGGAAACCTGGACCCTCACGCATGAGAAGCGGGTGTCTTAAACCTCCGGGCCGCCAAGACATATGATAAAGAAATATTAAAAAGGAGAAGTGGCAAGGGAGCGTGTCGGTGACGCTCGCAATTGAGCGTTCCGCTCAATGTAAGGAAATATGGCCGTCACCGCGAGTTAGTCTGTTGTCACCCGCGATCGTACAACAAACGACAAAATGCCGCCTTGTGCAGTGATTTCGTGCAGAAATATAAGCCAGAACAAAAACTGTAGAAGACATGGCATCGGTTACCATGTGTGAGAACAAATATTTACAATATTTATCTTAAAAATCACGAAAAACAACAAGTGACAAACCCTGTATACATATTTATTACAATGTCTACATAACATAACATCACGCCTTCCCCGAACGGGTTTTTTTTTTAAGGGGGGAAAATCATCGAATGACTGCTCCCGCCTGGGTGAGGCGGAAGGGAGTGTCAGACTCTTACTGACTAAAAACCACCCCGTTCCTTCACCTGCACGTCGAGCCGGACCCCCGGTAGGCAGAGGTGCACACTGGAGTAACACCCACTTTTCAATATTTATGTTATGAGTCCCATGTAATAGGGGGTGAGCCTATAATTACAATGTCTCTGTTAGAAAAAAGTCAGATTTTTTGTAAGTACATACTTTTTTTCGACATTAAATCTGGAGGTGATATCAGGGATTGTGTTCGCTCGGTTATAACATAACTCTTCATGTTCATCTGAGCCATCTGCACATTCCTTCTTCTGTAATACAAAGACAACAATCACTACATAGTATAAAACAAAGTCGCTATGCACCGTCTATCTGTCCCCATGTATGCTTAGATCTTTAAAACTGCGCAACGGATTTTGATGCGATTTTTTTAATGGATAGAGTGATTAGAGTAGAGAGAGTATTACTGTATGAATTTACTTCAAATATTGCATGAATATTATCAGGCTATCGCCTACGGAGGAGGAGCTGTGAAGAATATACAAAGTGACTATTCCACGCGGACAAAGTCGCGTGCATAGCTAGTAAATATTTAATAAATCTATATATAGAGGTATAAAAGAAAGTCGTGTTAGTTACACTATTTATAACTCAAGAACGCCTCAATCGATTTAGATGAAAATTGGCAGGGAGGTAGCTTAGAAAAAGGAGACGGACATAGGATAGGTACTTTTTATACAATACTTTTTTTTTACTTTTTACCGAAAATCACGAACGGGAACGGGGGGAAAATGGGATTGCGCGTACGAAGTCGCGGGCAGAAGCTAGTAATCAATAAAAAGCACCACTCACTCCATTACAATCTGAATTCCGGTCGACGCAGGCACCGTAAGCGCATTGGAACACGTGTGACGGGCACTGCATGCCGGCGCACGATTCTATCACCTCGTCAGACATATCTGGACAATTTACAGCTCCATCGCAAAGTTCTGAAGAAGGAATCTTGGTTCCATCCGCACATGTGAATTGACCACTGTTAAAAAATATTATTACTGAATATTAGACGATTCTTTAACATATTTTCTATAGGACGAAGAACGAGACGGCCACGCTAGCGCCGTCAGGGGGCTTACTCTTGAATCCAATTCTGATCGATCGATATTGGTATTGTGAAATTTCGTACTCTCGAGTCGCAACACTAGCACCCATTGCTTCCGTATTGTGTGGATATTGAATGAACTAAATGGTATTGAGTTTGGTTTTATATTCCGTACTCTGAATGCTATTTTAACAGCTACGATAGGGGTTGTATAGTTTTGACATTGAATAATTATTGAGATTTTATTGGATTGAAATTGCATTGACATTGTGATTAGTTTCAAGAGTAAGCACCCTCAGCTCTTAGTACGAGTTTATTTTACGCTTAAAGTAATCGTTTAAGTGTGGGAGAGCCATGCTTCGGCACGAATGGGCCACCTCGATCGGAGTGATACCACGGCCTCACAGAAAACCGACGCGAAGCAACGCTTGCGTTGTGTTTCGTCGTGTGAGTGAGGTTACCGGAGGCCCAATTACCCTCCCCAATCTCCCCAATCCCTGAATCCCCAACGATCCTCAAACTCCTAATCCCCAAAAGCCCGGTAACGCACTTGTAACGCCTTTGGTGTTCCAGGTGTCCATGGGCGACGCCGATTGCTTACCATCAGGTGATCCGTTTGCTCCATTCGGTATAATACTTAGGTATAATACTTATTAAAATACAACGTGGCAATGCTGCCAGCCTTCTGGGTACTTTCCCCACTGACGTCGATGCGGACGAATTTTTCGATGCTTTTTGTAAATAGTTGTTTTTATTTTTCTTATAATTATCTAATTTTAATCTTAAGTTGTATATATTTAATTTAGTAATAACTATTTAGTTTTAATTTTATTTAAGTAATAGTTAGTTTTAATTTAAGTTTTTTATTTGAATAAATGCTTACCTACTCTTAGAAAGTAGTTATACACTTACTTTTGAATTCTCTTTTTGTTCCCGCATTTAGGAAGAAGTTCGTCAGATCGGTCTACGCAGTCAACGAAGTCGTTGCATGCTGCATCACTATCAACACAGCCCCATACATACAAGTGAACAGGTTTGAACGACATCTATAACAGACAAACCGAAAAATTTATTATTTCATCACCATTAACATCATCAACAGCCTATAAGTGCCCACTGTTGACCAAAGCCTCTTCTCACACGGAGAAGGTTTGAGAATTAATCACCACGCTTGCTCAATGCGGGTTGGCGATGACAAACTTATAATTAGAAATTATAGCCCAGGTTTCCTCACGATGTTTTCCTTCATCGTTTGTCAGTGGTGTCTAAATAATCTTAGAAAGTACATATAACTCGGAAAATGTCACATTGGTACTTGCCATTGGTAGGTTTCGATCCCGCACTCTTATGCATGAGAAGCGGGCGGCTTAAACCTCCGGGCCACCACGACTAAATGAAGACTAAGAATTTATTAATTTCTCTTATAATATCTTCTGATTCACTTCGTTGCGGGAACCAAGACAGGTATGTCCCTGGGACGCGCCGGACTTCAGTGTTCCGGTGTTTTCATGGTTCTATCTACTGTAGATCCCGGTGCATAAGAGTTGCAGCCGTTTTGGGAGGTAGTGGCGGGCTTGTCTCATTAAAAGAATTTGTTTGTAATAAATTATTATGTAAGTATACTGGTTTATCTTTATATGATGATGACCTCTATCTATCCCTTTTTAGAACAACTACAAACTTATATCATTCCAATCTATACTTCATTTAATATATAACGCTGTGGTTTGTTTGCTTGTTTGTTTGTTTGAATGCGCTAATCACTGGAACTATTTTCTGAATTGAATAATTATTTTAGTGTTGTATAGTACATTTATCGAGGAAGGTTACCTATAGGCTATAAAATATCATACAACGATCAATAGGAGCCGAGCAGAGCTAGTGAAACAGCGCAAGAGTAGCTAGTATGTAACATCACGCCTTTTATACCCGAAGGTGTTGGCAGAGTAGCACGTTACATCACTTAATGCCACTGTACAATGTAACACCCCCTTTTCACTATTTATGTCATGAGTCCCATGTAATAGGGGGTGAGCCTATTGCCATATACCGGGCACAACTCCAGACTCCGGGCTGCGACTGAGGAGCGAGGCAGTCTAGTACCTACGGATATCAATAAAAATTCACTTACTTCATATTCCTGCACAGTGCATGAGTTTCATCACTCTTGTCTTTACAGTGATATTTCCCATCGCACTTCTCATGGCCAGGTATGCAGGATTGGTCCAAACACTGGAACTCGGTTGTACTAAAAGGAAAAAGCATTTATTTATTTAATAATTTATGTACACACAAACAGCACAGAGGATAACACATATATATAAAACTAGCGGCCCGTCCCGGCTTCGCACGGGGGGACTTAATATTTTTTACATAGTTTTACGTTTTATTTATATTATTCTCAGTTTTTTTTTAGCGACCTGCCCTCCGTTGTCGATGTTGCGTCTTAAGGTAACCGATTGAACAATTCAAAAGTTATCTAGAGCAAACTTTTATAAAGATTGAACCATTCATTAAAACGATTGTTATGGGTAAACTATAAAAGGTAGACATATGCTCTCGCGGACTTTTTTAAAAATAATGTTAAGATAAACAATTCATCTATAGAACATTTTTGTATAACTTTAACTATATGCTCAGCGCACGCCACGGAAGGCCTCAGAAACGATACTTTTCCCCCGTTTTTAAAACATTTTTGGTTACTGCTCCACAACTATAGGACCTAGCGTGATATTATATAGCCTATGTTACTTCTGAATAATGCAGCTTTCGAATAGTGAAAAAATTATTGCAATCGGTTCAGTAGTTTTTGAGTTTATTCATTACAAACATACAAAAATACAAAAATACAAAAATACAAATCTTTCCTCTTTATAATATTAGTATAGATATAGATAAGAGTACAAAGGTGCTACTTATTCCTATTGGAATTTCTTCCAGTAGACCTGAGACAGGAAATGTAATTAAAACGTAAAATGTATTAATATTCATAAGTACAGTGGCCAGCAGATCATTTTTTTATGGCATAAGCCGGTAAACGAGCAGACGGATCACCTGATGGTAAGCAATCGGCGTCGCCCATGAACACCTGGAACACCAGAGGCGTTACAACCGGCCTTTTCGGGATTAGGAGTTTGAGGATCGTTGGGGATTCAGGAATTGGGGAGATTGGGGAAGGGGAGGGTAATTGGGCCTCCGGTAACCTCACTGACACAACGAAACACAACGCAAGCGTTGCTTCACGTCGGTTTTCTGTCAGGCCGTGGTATCACTCCGGTCGAGCCGGCCCATTCGTGCCGAAGCATGGCTCTCCCACACTTAAATACAGATATATCATATACGTATCAGCAGATCAGATCATGACATTATTGAACCAACGAAACAATGTAACTAAGAACTGTGAGTTCTAAGTATTGTAAACCTGATTGAAAAAGAGTAACCTATGGAGTTTCCTGCTCGTTCTTCTTTCAGCCCTATTGGGCACCATCCATGGTGGTCTGATGGCTCTTTGAGGCGCGCGCGGAACGCGACACACCGTACGATCGGGTAGGTATACAGAGTTATTACCAAACGGTATTAATAAATATTTTCAGATACATATTTCCTTAACCTATTTTTGAACATGGCAATCGACTGACACTCTTTAATATTGTTAGGCAAATTATTATACAAGGTGTAGTTTTGAAACCGTGGCATTTCTCGGGGGCATGTCACAGAAGTCATAAAGGTTCAATATAAGAGAAAATTTCGGGCCAATAGTTAAAATATGGATATAATAAATCGTTTAAGTTCGACAGTATTTCAGAATAATCGACAGCAATGTTTCTTATTGGAGTTTTATGGAATTAGGAATAATATCAATGGGGATGATCACAGGGTATGAAAATTAAAAATATAATTAGTCCGTAAGTTAGGTAATGAAAAAATATTAGACACGTATTTTTTTATTTTGTCGTATAATAAAACAATGCTTAGATAAAACGAATCAAAGTTTAGGAGTGGGGGCTAAAACGTTATTTCTTAGTATAAAATGTACTGAGAAGTGACGTCACGCGACATTTCAAATCAATATATCTTCGAAACTATTCGTTTCTGTGAGAAAATAAAAAATACGTGTCTAATGTTTTTAAATAATCTATCAGACGGACATTAAAATAAAAATTAGTCGTCTACCCTATTGCGTGGTTGAGTTTGTGTGTGTTATGCCGCGTTTTAACTCGTTGAGTACCGTCATTATAGACACAATTAAAGAACATTAGGTGCCATGCTTGCATGCTTCGGCATCAATGGGCCGGCTCGACCGGAGTGATACCACGGCCGAGCAGAAAATCGCCGATGGGCGGCGCCGATTGCTTACCATCAAGTGATCCGTCTGCTCGTTTACCGGATTATACCATAAAAAAACAAACACACACAGACTTTCAGATCTTATCTTATATCTTATACTATTGTATAAAGATGAATAGTTTGTTTGTTTGAACGCGCTAATCTCAGGTGCTACTGGTCCGTTTTGAAAAATTCTTTTTGTAAGCTATAAAACATCACGCTGCGATCATTACGTGCCGCAGCAGAGTGGAAGTATTTTATAATATTAGCAAGATAAGACATACGTTACTTACCGACACCCTATTTGTCTCTTCGGCCTTAGGCGTGCTTTCACTGCCATCTCGTATCTGAAACACGAACAAAAACACTTTTTGTAATCTAATATTAATTAACCGGTGACCGCCCACTACTTTTTTAGGAGCGAAAGTCATCTAATATCTTCCTTCCATGGGTGAATCGACAGGAAGTGTCAGACTCTTACTGACTAAACACCACCCCGATCCTACTGCTTTAAGCCGGAGCCACGGCACTCCAGTACCAGCTTCTTCCTCTGGACCATGTTCAGCGGCGTGCCGTTCGGATTGTTGGATGTCGGGATGTTTTAAACCGGCTAGACACTTTGGCAATGCGTAGAGATGTAGCTTCGTTGTGCATTTTCTATCGCTTATACCACGGGGCGTGCTCTGAGGAATTGTTTGACCTGATACCTGCCGCATCTTTTCGCCATCGACCGTCACGACAGCATATACATCTACATCCCCATCATATAGACGGTTGGCAGGCTACAACTGTCCGCTTCTCGTGTAGCTTTCTGCCTCGCAGCAAAACTGCAATGATCTGTCGTCGGCGGTATTTCCGAATCCATACGACCATCAAACCTTCAAGAAAAGAGCGTATTCCTTTTTAAAAGACCGGCAATGCACCTTTGACTTTTCGGGTGTCCATGGGCGGCTCTGATCGCTTACCATCAGGTGAACCATCTGCTCGTTTGCCTCCTATTCCAAAAAAAAAATACGGTAAGTCTTCCGCGGCTTCGGATCAGGGGTATTAGCCTACTGGGCCCTATCTGTGGTGGTCTGATGGTTCTTTCTTTCTCAGGATCGTCCTTTCATGGACTATAGTATAAACTTTTTCTACTTATTAATTATCTTCTGCTTGTTAATCGGTATCAAGTTAGCAAAATATAATTTTCAGGTATGAAAATTTCTGAGCTATTACCTGACAGACAGGCAAACGGGAGAATTTTAGGTCTTTTTAGGCTAGACCTAAAATTCTCCCGTCTGCCTGTCCGTCCGTAAACCCCTAAATTCCTAACTTTAGAAACCCTGAACCATATCAATTATCATCATCAACAGCCTATAAATGCCCACTGCTGACCAAACGCCTCTTCTCGGAGAAAGTTTGAGCATTAACCACCACGCTTGCTCAATGCAGGTTGGCGATTTCAAACTTATAATTAGAAATTATAAGTGGTGTCTAAATAATCTTAGAAAGTAGGTACATTTAACTCGGAAAATATCATATTGGTTGGTCGGTAGGTTTTAAATCAGCACCTTCATGTATGAGAAGCAGGCGTCTTAAACCTCCGGGCCACCACGACATACAAAGATATATTGTATTATAATAATTACTTACGATTCCAACTTAGTGTTGCAAAATTCTTCATCAACGCCATCTGGGCAATCGTGAAAGTTATTGCAAACTAAATCGGCACTGATGCACGTACCATTTGAACATCGGAAGTCACTTTCGCTGAAACAATATTTATTTACTTAACAAGCCGTTTATTTATTTACCTTTACAACAAGGAGAAAAAAATATGTACAGAGATGGCCTTAATACCATGGGCATTGTCTAATAGGGCAGTGTCTGGTACATTAATTTAAACTTTAGACACGTATTTTTTCTTTTCTCACAAAGTTAAATACTTTCGACGATACATTAATTTGAAATATCGTGTGACGTCACAGCGTGCCACATTTTGTACCACGTTATGACGTAACGACCTCCGACTCCTAAACTTAGCGCCACGGAGTCTGGAATTGTGCCCGGTATATGGCAATAGACTTACATGGGACTCATAACATAAATAGTGAAAAGTGGGTGTTACATTGTATAGTGCGTAGTGCATAATGTGCACCTCTGCCTACCCCTTCGGGGAAAAAAGGCGTGACGTTATGTAATGTATGTAATGTGTTTAAAAATGTTTTTTCTTTAGTTTTATTTTCCTTTAACAAAAGAATTTTGATTTCGTAAGTAGTAGTTTATTTTTTTTCAGTTACTAAATTTTATTTTCCTTGTTCGTTTATACAGTTATTTTTTATCAATTAATTGTAAAGTTGGTTAACTTATAATTAGCGACTGTATAAGCCCAATACTTATCGTTACCCTTGTTATCTCTTAATATTATGTATACAGAAGCTGTTGGTAAACCTATTTCAATAAATAAATAAATCACTCCTAACCACAGAAAAAGAAAATCACCCATGAGTGAGGTCACCAAAGACCCAATACCTCTCGCACCAAATTACAATCCTCATAGTACGAGAGATGACGACCAAAATTTTTGTCTCATAGCAATACGGCCAAAACCGCCTCAAATCGATAGATACGATTATCCTGAACTCGAAAATACCAATATCAGACATTTTCCGCGTAGCGTTTGATCTGACCACAAAAACACCAGACAAAAAAATGTCTCATAGCAATACGTCTGAAAACCTTTTTTATTAGTAAATTTTGGTTATTTGATGCGAACAAAACAATTTTCAGACGGAAATGTGAACGCATTAAATATTGAGACCGTTTTGAAAATGTTAACAAATTTTACCGATCGGTATCATGGCAATATGGCTGAAAATTGTTAGACATGATAAAATAAGTTGTCCACATGTGCAAAAAAATTATATCAGACAAAATAAGTGTAGCACCTTCTCTATCAGACAACTTTTCGATACTCAGATATTTTTGACACAGCAGAAATGGCCTCCCACGCAGTTGCTACACTTTCGACCGTTATTACACACCTAGTCGGGTTCAGAATCATACAATCTAACGATTTTATAGGGTTTTTGCCGTATTGCTATGAGACATGGTCGTCATCTCTCGTACTATCAAATCCCTTAGCCCCCAAAGGCCAGACTTTTTTTTTAAGGGGGGAAAATCATCGAATGACTGCTCCCGCCTGGGTGAGGCGGAAGGGAGTGTCAGACTCTTACTGACTAAAAACCACCCCGTTCCTTCTCCTGCACGTCGAGCCGGAGCCCCGGTTACCCGTTAGGTTCTCCGCGACAAAGGCCAGACTTGCACTTATAACTCCTCTGGCAGTGGGTGTACATGGGCGGCACCGATTGCTTACCACCACTGATACCAGTTTGTAATAAACACAACACCTAATCGATGTCGTCTGGTAAATATGAGGTACCAAGGGTTAATAATGTTTATGGTGATCGATCAATGAAAAAGCGTATCTCGTACTTACTCAATCATTTGCCAAAAGAAGTCAGGGAAGAGAAAAATAAAAATAAATTTAAGACTAAATTAAAAAGAATATCTGTTTAGTACACTACCATAGCTATATGTATTTACAATTAATCATAACCATTATCAAAATAAACAGTAATTTAAATGTAGAAGATCCAACAGTCAAACTATTTATATATAGTTTTGTTGGACATGGCGTTAGATTGTAAGGCATATCATGTACATTTTATTATTAATTAAATAAATAAATAAATATTAAATAGGTGATCTGTCTCCGTGTTTGCCAGACTATCCCATAATAAAATCACTAAACTTGTCCCCCATCACGAGATCACTATCTACTTATCTATATTAAAATGAAACGCGTTTCCCGTTGTCACGCCATAACTTGAGAACGGCTAGACCGAATTGGCAGATTTTTTTGTTGTATTTATTTTGTCACGAGAAGGTTCTTATGGTAGAAAAGAAAATTCTGAAAATATAATGGGAACGGGAGAAAACGGGATTGCGCGTATGAAGTATCGGGCAGAAACTAGTACATAAATAAAAAAGAATTTGCGTTCGTTAGTCTCGCTAAAACTCGAGAACCGCTGAACCGATTTGGCAAATTTTAGTCTTGAAATGTTCGTAGAAGTCCAGGAAAGGTTTAAAAGGCGAGAAAAAAAATTAGGCGGTACGGAATTTGAATTGTTTGTTGTACGTTAATTAAAGTAATCGAAACGAGACTGCCTTCGACGCTGTGATTGGTTGCTTCATTGGTGTCCGCCAATCACGAGTTTGATTTACGCTTAAAGTTTTCGTAACGAGTACACGTTCGGCGCTCTCATTGGTTGGTTCATTGATGCTGGCCAATTAGATTGTCAAACGCATACTCGTTTCGAATATTTTAAACGTGAAACAAGCTTGTACTAGGGCCTGAGATATATAGCTATATACTTAAATATATTTCGGTATACTTACTCGCATATTGATGTGATGCCCTGTCTGATAATTGATCCCGGTGTCGATGAAATAACTGAAATTTTTAACATAGGTAATGTTAATATTATATGAAAGTATTATTACAATTACAATAAATTGAAATGACGGCCTCGTTGGCCAAGTGGTTGCAAGTGCGACTGCCGGGCAAGGGGTCTCGGGGTCGATTCTCGGCTCGGGCAAAGTATTACTGGGTTTAAAAAAAATTCTCAATAGTAGCACGGAGTCTGGAATTGTGTCTGGTATATGGCAATAGGCTCACCCCCTATTGCATAGGACTCATAACATAAATAGTGAAAAGCGGGTGTTACATTGTGCAGTGGCATTATGTGCACACCTTCGAGAATAAAAGGCGTGATGCTATGTTATGTTATAATTATCAATATTTTGTACGACAGTAGGAATGTACCTACACTTTAGAATGAGCTGACAAGCTTCACTTTCTAGTAAAGTGACTGACCGACAGACTGACACTTGTACTGTTTTAATATATATTTTTATTGATTCATTCATTATTTATGGTTACTGGCGGACTAGTCGAATTCAATACTTTTTTCGAACTGTCAAAAACGACAGTTTTCTATGAATTTTGTACGTGATTGTGTATTGTGACGTCACGCTTTTTTAGCGACAAACAGAATACTTATTTCTTAAAAATTTGCTGGAAAAATACTAAAATTAAGTTGGTCATGGTCACGTTTTATTAGAGTCATACAGCATACTATAAATTATTTCTTAAAAAATTGCAAAGTGCCGTAATGTGCACCTCTGCGTACCGCTTCGGAGATAAAAGGCGTGATGTCAAGTTAGGTAATGTAAAAAAATTATGGTAGCTCGCCGCAGGTGTATGAGGATTGGTGATTATTTGGCTATGTCACCCAATGGACTACTGGCTATTCTCGCGTCCTGGCGACGTCGCTAGTTTTTTTGAGGGATAAAATTACCTATATCTTGAGAGAAGTGAGATAGTGTCAAAATAGGGATGATGACAGGGTATGAAAATTGAAAATCTAACTAGTCCGTCAGTTAGATAATGAAAAAATATTAGACACGTATCTTTTTATTTTGTTGTATAATAAAATGATATTTAAAAACAACGAATCAAAGTTTAGGAGTGGGGGCCACTAAAACGTCATTTCTACGTATAAAATGTACATAGAAGTGACGTCACGCGACATTTCAAAGCAATATATAGTCGAAAGTATTCGTTTCTGAAAAAAAATAAAAAATACTTGTCTAATGATTTAAAATAATATACCAGACGGATATTAAACCCTCCTCAATTGAATCCTCCACAATCCTCCAATTCCCAATTCCCAAATGGCCGGTAACGCACTTGTAAAGCCTTGGTGTTTCGGCTGTCGAGTTGATCTGTCTGCTCGTTTACCGGCTTATGCCATTAAAAAAAAAGGTGGCCACGCAATCTTGATCGTCGTAAGTTTTTAATCATGAAATAACAAATGCGTTGCCTGATGCAGAAACTTCATTTCGATATTTTCCTCCGTTCTTGCGACTTGGAAAATCCAAACTCATATAGATTTAAATTATACCTACATATTCTAAGATTTCCAATTCGTCACAAAATAGCCACCTCAGTTTCCAAGAATATAACCAGAGCTGCAGACAACCCGGTTACTGAGGTTCAGTTTAGTCAGTAAGAGCCTGAGGCTCTCTCGCCGAACCCAATGCAAGAGAAGTCATGGGATGATTTTCCCCCTAAACTCCGCACCTCGTCGTGGTGGCGCGGAGGTTTAAGACGCCCGGCGTTTCTCATAAGTCATACATGAGAGTTCGGTTTCCAAACCATACTTGACATTAGCATGACAAGTATCAATGTCTTTTCCCGAGGTAGGTTTTAAACGTGGGACAGCCATGCTTTGGCAAGAATGGATCAGCTCGACCGGAGTGATACCACGGCCGAGCAGAAAACCGACGTGAAGCAACGCTTTTTTTTAAGCGGGGAAGGGGGAACATCATCGAATGACTGCTCTTACTGACTAAAAACCACCCCGTTCTTTCTCCTGCACGTCGAGCCGGAGCCCCGGTTATACCCGTTAGGTTCTCCGCGACTCCGAATCGGCATCGGCCCTATTGGGCCCCATCTGTGGTGGTCTGATGGCTCTTTGAGGCGCGCGCAGAACGCGACGCGCCGTACGCTCGGGTCTGTTTCTGGTCAGACGACGAGCCACCCATGCTCGCCGTCCGCAGGCCCGCGCTTACGGTGGCCGGAAATCGTCCCGCGATCCCCGACGCCCGGTGTGTCCTTCGCGATGGCTGGGTTGCGAGGAGGCAGCTCTTCGCTGCCTCACGCGTCCCTCCACGTGAAGCAACGCTTACGTTGTGTTTTGTCGTGTGAGTGAGGTAACCGGAGGCCCAATTACCTCATCTCCTGTCTCCCGAATCCCTGAATCCTCCACAATCCTCAAATTACCAATTCCCAAAAGGTCGGTAACGCACTTGTAACGGCCTTGGTGTTCCAGGTATCAGGTGATCCGTCTGCTCGTTTAGCGGCTTATGCCATAAAAAAAATCTCCTAATTTTTTCCTTAATGAATAGAATGCAGGAACAATTTAGTCGCCTGTCATGCTCACTTAATGTGGATATTGACATGTCCTATTCTCTTTTCAAGGTGAAAACTGTCCTGCGTAGCACATTCTCACAGAGTTAAACCGCACTATATATTCCATTCGAATCAAAATTTTACTGTTTAAAAATTTAAATTTAACAATTATGATTTAATATGATGTCTTTTTTTATAAGCGAACTTTTTGTTGTAGTTAATATGCTGTTCTTTCATAATGCATGTCGTGGCAGCCTTTAATTAAGGCTACACTATAGAGTGTTAAAATATGTTAAAACCAATCACGTATTTTGGTGTATGCTTTGTTAGTTGTCCTTATATAAATAAATAAATCAATAAGCAATAGGAAAAGTGTACACTTCTGTTTACAGTCCATGCCACGACCTATATAGTTTTCAATTTAAAATACGTTTAGTTCGGTTGACGGTCGTCGAAGGAATGGTCCGCGTTGTCGCACGAAATCGCATCGCAGCAACTCGTGTCGTAATTTTCTGCGTTGGGAATTCTCATCGCATTGTATCGCAGTTTTGTTTACGAGCTCGACAGTGCGATCCATAGGATGCAGACCTTCCAAAATAGCTTTTTCCTGATATAAACGAAATCAAACAAACAAGTCGTAACAGGTTTTTAACGGTTGAACTCGTCTTTTTATTGTAATATCATGGCATTGACATCGTCGCATTTTAATGAATCCTTTATTATATTACTTTATTATATTAATCGGAAAGTGAGTTTGTTTGTTTGTTTGTTCTGCTTTCACGCCGTAACTACTATACCAATTTACTACTTGACTGCACGGTTGGCGCGGTGGTTGGGTAACTGACTGCCGCGCAACGTGTCGCGGGTTCGATTCCCGCACGGAACAACTCTTTGTTTAATCCACAGTTCGTTGTTCCGGGTCTGGGTGTCATGTGTATGTGAACTTGTATGTTTGTAAACGCACCCACGACACAGGAGATAATCCTAGTGTGGGGACGCCTTCTTTAAAAAAAAATTGCTTTGAAATTTTGCAGACGTAAAGTTAGAAGTCTAGATTAAATAATAGGGTACTTTTCATCCCGGAAAAATTTGATATTTCCCAGGGAAAACAAAAATATTGGTATAGATGGCGCTGTGTGTATTGATATAGATGGCGCTGTGTGTCATTTAAAACCAGTCAACGAATTACCTACTTATTGGAAAAATGTAAATAGCGCGATATAACCGAATTCCACGCGAGCGGAAAGCTATTTGTTTGTTTGCCTGTCTTAAACGGCAGAACGGAGATACTAATTAACGTGATTTTTTAACTAAAGGTAGTTGAAGGGATGGATAGTCACATGGGCTACTTTTTATCCTTTTGTGACGCGAGCGATGCCGCGGGTAAAAGCTAGTATTGAATACATTAAACAAATGTAGCATTTTCGTCAAGCAAGTGAATAACATAACAACACCAAAACCAATAATAACAAATAAAAAGTAAAAACATAACATAACACCACACCTCCTATCCCCGAAGGGGTAGACAGAGGTGCATATTATGCCACTGTATAATGTAACACCCACTTTTCACTATTTATGTTATGAGTCCCATGTAATAGGGGGTGAGCCTATTGCCGAAAGTTCCCCTCGGTTTCTCTAGGATTCCATCGTCAGATCCTGACCTCATGGAAATGGGACCATCTTGGGAGTATACCCTTTCAAACAAAACAAGAATTTTAGTAATCGGTTCATAAATGGTGGAGTAATCGGCGAACAAACAAAAAAAATCAGCCGAACATAGTACCTCCTCCTTTTATAAGTCGGTAAAAAAAGTATAAAATAAAAATAAAAAACTGCGTTTAAAAAACCGACTTCAAAAACTATAATGACAAATAAAAAGTAAAAACTAATAATCAAACCCAAACACAAGGTGGCTACTGTTAACCATTAAGGAGTTCCCTCAACTATTGTACTACTTCATCATCAGACCATTTAACAATTACACCCCAATCAGGTGTAAAGTCCTCATCAATACAAATTAATCGAACCCAAACACAAGGTAGCTACTGTTAACCGTTGAGGAGTTCCCTCGACTGGCTCTCGGCTCCATCATCAGATCGGCTCCAGACTTTTATCAGATTGTAGTGGTTTTCAATACTTAATGAAAAAATTAACAAATGCCCTAGTCACCCTTATAATTTTTAAAAGTTCCCCTCGGTTTCCCTGGTCTTTCATCATCAGATCCTGATTTCCTTATCATGGGACCATTCTGGAACTATCTCCTTTCTAACAAAAAAAGAATTTTAGAAATCGGTTCATAAATAGCGGAGTAATCGGCAATCAAACAAAAAAAAATAATCAGCCAAACTTAAGCTATAGCGCCATCTACAAATTGGTTCGTGTTTACCTCCCCATTAAATTTAAATTCTACATAAGCAAGGACGTTGCCTTTTTTAAACGTCCTTGTACATAAGTAATACATAAAAAAAGGATTG